GGTGCCCCAACCCCGGGGATCCCTGCTGAGGGATGGGGAAGGGGAACCCCAGATCCCATCTGGCTACTGTTGCTTGAGCTCACTCCCTGGTCTCACAGCAGAGCCATGAATCCGTAGACACAGAAAATGCACAAACTGAGGCTGCTTGGAAGTCATCTGCTACAAATAGGAATGAAAAGTGGACGGTATATTAACCTGAAGATCTAGCAAAACAAGAAAATTCCCACATTCCAGAATGGTGGTATCTCTTTTGCCAGGATAAAGCTACTTCCACCTTTAAAGTTCAACTTCCCTTTTCCTCCTGCCTACAAAGGGACACTGCAGCCTCAGGAAGGATTACTGCAGTGAGGCTGCAGTCAGGTTAGGAGGACAGATAAGGTAAAACTGCTGCTAAAATCCAGCACGTTCACTGTGAGAACAGTTTTTCCCAGAGGCAGCATTTGGAAACCCCATGGAAACCTGACGGGGCCAGCAGTGACTGAGGTGCATTAGGAGGGACGTGGGGTGATGCTGTTGTCCTGGGCTGTGCCTGATGGCAGAAGGAGCTTTGGTTGACTCTGGTTTTCTGGATGACCCAACAGGGCTGTTCTGCCTTTCCATCAGGACCCAGCACTGGGACTGAGCCAGCAGGAATTCACTTTGTCTGTCCTCACACATCCCACCTGCCCTTGCACAGGATGCGCTTGGAGGACACGGTCTGAGGCCCACGGGTAAAGTGTGTGAGATGTTGTTACCTGGCCATGGCCCAGCTGGGAAAGGAGAAGTGAGGAACAGTCAGAACTGATGAATGCAGACACTCACCACTGACCCACCTCTCCCCGCTCGCAGCCTCACGAGCAGCAAAGGCAAAGAGTTCTTCAGGAAACGGATTCTCATCCTGTTCACTTTGAGATGCCTCTTCCCCAATTCAGCACTGGGACAAGAAGAAAGCTGAAATGTCACAAACTCAGATCATGAGAAACGTTTATGTGAGGTCAGTGGGAAAGGCTGGGACACTCCAGTGCTGACACAGCAGGAGGAAGGTCAGGGGGAGTCCTGCTGTGGGCAGCAGTGCCCAGCTCGTGTGAAGCTGCCAGTGTGCCTGGAAAACCAGGGCTCTGCTTCCAAAAACCACTTGTTCTTAAGGTTGTTCTGCTGTATGAGGTGTTTTAGGGGACTTCCAGGGCCATAGCAAGAGGCACATCAGTGGAAAGAGGAAGGGTGTGGGGTGCAGGCAGCCCCTCGCTGGGAGACCCTTGGCACAGCTTGGCTTTCCCTACCTGCTCCAATGGCCTGGTGAGGGGAAGGACCCCTGGGAAGTGCTCAAAGGGGGAACAGAGCACAGA